TTCCAGAGTGCGCCCTGAACTTCGCCCTCGGCCGCACCACCCAGGAGTCTGCACCGTTTACCTCCCGTGGAACATCTCCAGGGCACTCACTGAATCTGAAGGCTAATTGGGTGCATTAATAGCCCTCTCCTTCTAGATGATTATGTTTCTTCGCAATACCTCGTGAAACTGTCTCCTTGTAACCCTTCCCACTGGTTTTCTTTCTTTTTGTTTTTCAAAATAAGCCCACCACGTGGTGTCTTTTAGGAGATTGGAAGACAGCCAACCTGCTCACTGCTGGGTCTCCTCCTTGTTGGCCCCTCACCCCTAGTTTCTCATCTGTTATCTCATAGTTTGTTGGGGTTTTTTTTCCAAGTCCTACTTCAAAGTTGTCAGAACAGTCCTCTAGGGAATGACATTCTGACAGCTGTCTGGAATTTAAACACATCCACTCTCACGCAGGACACCTGTTCGCTGTTGCTGTGAGAAACGAGTTGAGAAGGAGTTAACTCAAAGGCTGGGAGCAGTTGACTAATGGATGATATTAGAATCCAGTCAGTCCTTTCAAGGTTATGGGTCTGTGATTTAACATTTCTTTTCTAAGGTTTACATTTTATTTGGCAGTAGTTGCTTTTCTGCTCTCCATTCCATGGAGGAAAATGGCAGGGGTGAGAGCCTGCCTAAGAGGCTTTTTGGAACTAGAAAGTAAAAGCCATTTGCTGTGTCTGAAAACAATAGAGATCATCATTTGATTTTACCCCCTCCGTTTTGACCCAGGGTTTGGGATAATTGTTACCTCCTGTAAGCTGGCCTTTACTTTGTGGTAAAATGTACATAGCATAAAAATCGGCTTTAACCATTATTTATATGTACAGTTCAGAGGCGTTAAGTACATTTACATTGTTGGGCAGCCATCATCACCATGGACTTTACTGTTGGTTGAAGGCAAAACCCCACAAAATGCTGTAAACACCCATATGGCTGGTGGCTGCGTTTTGGTGTTCCTAGTGAGCCGCTGATGAAATCCCCTGGACTCATCTGAAGGCAACCTGCTCATTTGGAGAAAAAAATCCACTAGGAGAAAATACCGGCACAATCAAAGCCAATCGAAGCCGTAAAATGGAAAAAGATGGTTAAAACTCCAAACAAAATGAAACTGGAAATTTTTACCTATGCCCTTCTAAGGTCCCGTAGTCAAATGATGTAAAATGCTGGACAGGGCTATATTTTACCAGATGCTCATAATGATGAATATTCAAATATGGACATTTTTAGCCATGAGTGAAAAAAACTGGCATGGAAAAATACATGAAGAACTTTTAAAAATGTTTTTTGTGGAACTGATGTTTGAACACTTCACTGGGGAGAACATTTTGTGGGGATTTCATTGTCCACCAGTTTTTGGCCAGGGATTAAATGATTACATATAGAAAGTTCCTGGTGTGGTAGAAGCAATAGGGGATAAAGCATTTCACTGTGTTGAAATGTGGGCTTTTGGTCAGATTTTCCAAATGAGCTATGCCTTCTCTCCATACTTAAAGGAGCAAAGTTAGAATTATGAGTAGGTTTTTCATAGACTGCACAGGAGTTTGACATACCTCCCTGTTTATCATGTTGGACTTTTCCTATTAGCCACATATGTATATGTTCTGAACTGGGAAGTCTTTGTTATTGAGGAAAACTGACGTTGCCAGCAGTATAGTATAGCAGTCAGACTTTGAGTAAAATGTTAGGCAAATAGCCAAGAAGGGCGGGTTTGTTACTCCAGACTCTCCCATGCCAGCCCTTTCGCTTACGAGGGTGTTTTAGGCAAAGAGAAGGCATAATTTGTTATCCGAGCTCAGACATTGGTTTGTTCCTGATGTTTGACAAGGCCCTTTCCTCTCTAGGCTTCAGTTTTCACAAGTAAAATGAGAGGACTGGGTGATCGAATTAAAACTGGATGATAGAATTAAAATTTTACTGGATGCTTAATGTATTCTAGGTTCTGTGTTAGGGGCTCACAGATGAGAAGGACATCATATATATTTTATACAGTACGTTTTGTCGTCATGAAACAGTGACATACCAGCATGATAAATCAAATGTTAGGCCCGAGGCTAAATCATGCTTGGGGAGGTGGGGAAGGCTTCCCAAGGCGGATAGCATTTCAGTGGACTTTGAAGCATGGAGAGCCTTTCCTCAGGCAGAAAAGGGCTGAGAGTGTTTTAGAATGAGGGAGGAGACCGAGTGGAGAGGTGGAAATGCAGACCTATCAAGGGAATGAAAAAAAAATATAAAAAATTCCTGTGAAGAGGCCGCAAGGTACAATAAGGGGAGATGATCTTAAAATGTCTCCTGAGAACAGGCCTCCAAAGCCTTGTCTGCTAAGTGTGGGCTTTTTCTGTCCAGCTGTTGAGTATCATAGGACTACATTCTTCCTCCTCTCTGTTTCTAGAATTGGGTGCTCTTGTAATTCTAATGTCAGGAATCGTGATGTCTTTATATGAAGGTGAATTATTTATGAACACAACTGTCTTTAGTTTGCAGTCAATTTTTTTCCTAGTTAGTGAAACTTCCTGATTGTCAGTTGCACAGGAAAGAGTAGATCACAAAGTGCACCTTCCCTTCCCCTCTCTCAGTAGCAAGTTTTAAATACATGTGCCTAAACTCAGCACTCTTCGAGTTATTACGTATTTAAAAGGCTCCAGAAGTCTCCATCAAAGGAAGTAGAGAGCCGGGTATCCAGTACTGCAAAGTGGTGAACATGTTTGAGCTTGGCCACTTCGTTCTCCAGATAGCAGTCTGACTTGTGCTGTGTAGGGAAAGGTGCTGGAATGCAGATTTCGGGTACAGGTTCGGGGGCTGTCTCTTCAAAGTGCTTAATCTTTCTGGATCTCATTTCCCCTATTTATAAAATGCACAAATTGTACATGTATATCTAGCAATTGATGTATGAAGTGTTCTCACTATTTCTGTTTCCTCTTACTAGTCTGTAATACTGAATAATAATTTCTGAGCCATTTATTAGATCTCATAGGCACATAAATATCATGATACTAAGTGATTAAATATTTATTGAATGACTCCTTCGAGCAAGGTGTTGAGTTGTGTAGCCACTGAGAATAAAAAAAGAAGATAAAGAAGCTTTGATATGTTTCAAGGAGTTCCCAGCCTGGCCTGTCGCTCACTAATATAAACAGGGAAATAAAATAGATTGAGTTATGTACAAATGTAGGTATGATCCAAGTGCTTTGATGGTACTACCTTGTTCATCTGTTCATTTCCAGAACATTATAAGATACCTAGTTTTTAGCAGGCATCCAGTAAAAATCACTGAATAAAATATAACACATGCCATACTTTATTATGTTTTAAATAGTAATCTCTAAAAAATTAAAATACAAAAAAACCCAACAAATTAAATTCCATGCAAGAGTAAAATAATTGTTTGCTTCAAAAATGCTTGTTTTTATAAAGCACACTTAAGTACTGGGTTAAGGTAAACTAGATCAGTACAGTTGTTTGCTATGGCCCTTTAGATGAACTTGAAATGGCCATCAGTAACATTTAGATGATTTTTCCAGAGTGACAGATGACTGCTAAAACTTAAATTTTGAGTTTTATAAATTGAGAGTTTTATACAGTAGTCATTTTGATTAGCTCTTGATACAGAATCTACAATCCTGTGTAAATTAAATTGTTTCTCAATTTACTGCCTTCCTTGAATCAAAGTATTTGATGCCATGGCAAGCTTGGAACACTTAAATATGTTGAGGCCTCTGGTACAGGAGAGTGCAGGGAGTGGAAGGGGCCCGAGCGTGGTGGTGCCATTGGCTTTTTCTGGTGTCTGTCCATGCCAGGCATCATATGCCAAATGTCTGTCCCTAAGCAAGGGCAGAATAGGATAGCGGTTTCCCTGGCATATAGGTGACACCATAGGATGGGGAGCCTCCACTCTCGAAAGATGGGCCATTGGCTT